TTTCTTAACCATACAAACACATAGAAATTAGTGTTAAATAATTTTATTAAATTATAAATAAATTGAATTACCATAATTATTGTGCATAAACCTACATAATCATATTAATTTTAATCTAGATAAATGTAAATTCATAAATTTAATATTGATTTGGATACTATTTGTTTCGTAAATCGTAGAAATTATATTAATATTAGGTATATATTGTTTTTACGATAATTAATTTGAAACACTAAACTGTGAAAGTGTGAACAYTGTAGGAACCTATAGAAAGTGTTAGAGACAGTGGACAGGGGCAACAATATTACCATTTGGTAATTAACCTCCTCCCCTTCCTATACCATCAGTTGAGGAAGATAGTTCGAAATTTTCTTAAAAATAACTGTGTAAATAATATGCACAACTCAGTGTAATGTTTTGTAATTTTTCTTGTTAAAGTAACAATATAATTTCCAAATTTCCGAGAAATACAGTGTACAGGAGCCATATGTGAAATAATATAATTTACATTATTTACAAATAACATTAGCAACATGCATAATAAATACACTTATCCCCATCGTTAATTATATTAACTGAAAAATGAAAAGTACCTATTGGTATATTATACATCGGTAGTCGATAGGCTATGGATGGCAAATAAGTGGCACGCATGAGATTTTTGATGGTATACTCGAAAAACTTTAATTTGTCGATATATATTTATAGATTTTTAAGTAACGGTACGGCTGAAATTTTTTTTAAAATTATATCATAAATTGGCATGTTGAAAAAATAACATATTAAGACATGCGTATTGTGTAAAATATTTCAAGAGGTGGTGGGAGTCAAATGTTTCTGTAGTCACGGGTAGGGATATTTCTACATGCACTATTTTAATTATTTAAATTATAATTTATGGTTAGGTATCACTATTATTAGGTATAAAAATTGAAAAAAAATTATGAGGAATAATCTACTCTCTTCGACTTCTTCTCCCAACTGTTTGACCATCACTTATAGTTTGTTAAACATAGGTATTATTTAACCCACTATTTCGTATTTTTATTTTACTTTTCAAATACATTTTTGTTGTGTATCAACTGGCGACCACCTACCAAGAGAAACTCAAAAACAGTAATATATATATTTGTATTGATCATAAGTCCGGGAAATATGGCTATTAGCTGTTTACATGGGCGTAGCTAGGATTTCAATCAGGGGGAGGGGGGAATTAAAACAATATTATAAAAATGCCAATAATAAATATATTAATAATTTAAAGTAAAATAAAAAAAAAATTGAATAAAACAATTTTGTACCTGTACGTATAATTATATTAATGACAATCGTCTAGGATCTTCACAAAATCTACTTAGAATTTTCTGTTACTTATGCTTTTATTATTATGATTGATTATACATAATATGTAAAAGACTGCATTATATTTGTATTATTTACTATTATAATATAAGATAATATGTACTTACCACTAAAAATTTTCGTATGTCCATCGTGTACAATATTATATTAAATTTAAACGTTATTCGTTAGGGTTTATTTACGCTTAACACAGCACGGCATGGACCGTTGCACTATAATATTATAGCTGCAGGTAAGCGTTTTGAAAAAGTGATTATTATAAAATTCTATAATACCTATCGACATTATCGCTGTCAGTTTGAGTAAAAGTTGATGTTAATGTATTAAGTACAAAAAGATTAGCGTTAAACTCGTAATTCAAATAATCTACACACAGACCAATCGACAAAATATAAAATGATTACACTCGGTCGCATTGAACTATTTTTAGACTTAAATGTTCTTATAGTTTTATATCGTATTTAATATTTCGGTTTTAATGTAAAACTTAATTATTTCAATTTAAAAATAAAAAATAAATTGTTTTAATTCAATTTGAGACGCAGGGGTGGGCAAGTGTCCCCCTGCCCCGTCCTCGCTACGCCCATGGCTGTTTATAGAAGGACAGGGACGGTTAGTTTGGACCACGTGTTGTCTATGCGGCTAGGATTTGTTGCTAAAAATCCGGATTTTAGCCCGAGCTAGCAACACCAGCCAGTACGTACACTCTGAGCGTTTCCGCAGTTGAGCGTACGACCGCGATACAATAATATATTTACCATAGAAAAACAATATAAATATAGTAAAACAAGTAAAAGCACAATGTTTTCGTTTGTACAAATTAGTAATTAGGTACCCGCAACCACGGTCCACTGGGCACAAACAGCTTGTTCTGTTAGTTTAACTAATCGTTAAATTTTTACAATAATAAATTGGGTACAAGTGTATTTAAGTTTATATAATATGTAGTGTATTATGTACATAAATCTAGAAATAGCATTTGCACAATGTATAGTCACTTACGTTCTAAATATATGCTCTATAAGACTATAACGCTATACGCACCATCCAGTAAGAGAACGCACCACGAATCACGATCCTGTGAAAATTGATTTAACCAACACATCATCGTTCCACATCTATTAGACATCTAGTTATAGCGTTTCCACATAGAACTCGTATTTACCTATAATATCAAGTATACTGTAAACTGTACACCAACAATCGATACACTAAAATGGCGCGCTTGATTAAGTATTTGAGTGTAACATTACATTATCTTACCTATAAAATTGATTATAGAATAGACTATAGGTATTCTAAATTCAATGTCTATTGCTTATAATATAATATTATTCTAATCGTTATACTTATTYAAGTAGTTCTATTTTATAACAGGACAACCATGAAAGACAGAGGATTGGAGATGATATCACTTCTAAGAAATGTACATGTCGGACAACATCCCATTACATGGGTTGGTCATTCTAAAGGGGGATTGTTCATAAAACAAATATTAGTTCATGGTATTGATTTTATTCATTAAGTGTTAGATGGTTGTTCTTGTTTTCTTATGGGTATATAAATGTTATATTGTTATAGCTAATGAAAACCAGCAAACTCACAAAATCATAACAAATACCAGAGGAATATTATTTTATAGCGTTCCACATAACGGATCTCCTTTGGCCAATATAAAACTACCTCTGTTTCAACGATCAATCGAATTACAAGAGTTAGTAAATGGTATAGTACATGATATCATAAACTTTGGAATGATTAATATTGATTTTTAATTTTTGCTACAGATACACAAGATATACAAAAACTTCAGAAAACATTTCATGAAATGATGAATGTTAATAGACAAATACAAGTGAAAAGTTTTATTGAAACCAAATTGACACTAATGAAACTAATTTATTTAAGAATTGTTTCTATTCAGTCTGCAGGTATCTATTCATATAATTTTTAATGTTTTAAATTATGTAGCCTTAAAAGTAGTTTTATATTTTAAAATTGTAATTACCAGCTACTACAATTTATTTATTGGTATACCTTAAGAATGGACCAATGAAATATTGATATTCATAGAATAAAATAGATTTTTTTTCAGGAACCATTAATAAAAATATAAAATTTGGTTCAAGGTTAAATAATAATCATTCTATAATATAGGAATAGGACCTACATTATAGTCAGTGGCATGACCAGAAGTTTCAGATGGGGAGTTATAAGTTATAAGTAAATGATTGGGTTTTAAATTTAAATGAATTGTGTTAGTAGTACCAAAGAAACATTATTTTTGGGACAATAGGAGAAAGGTGGATAAATAATCCCTACCTCCCTCCCTATGAGTATAGTATATATTATTATTATAGAATAAAAAATTCACTTTTTTTTTCTTATTAAGATCCTGGATTTGGAGATTTATATGGGGTTCCATTGGATCATCGAAATATTTGTAAGCCGAAAAATCGGTAAGAACTACAACATAGTAATATATTAAAATATATAATATTAAGTATAWAAACATATAAGTAATTTAAGATTATTTTAATCACCTACCATTTTGTTGGCATTAAAAAATACTAATATAATAATACATATTACAGGAATTGTTTTCTATATCAAGAGCTAGTTAATATGATACAATCATTAAAGCAATCAACAGTTGAAGAAACAGTATAAATATTGTTAGAAATAAAGTATACTACATATATAAAAAGTAAACAAGAGATCATTACATGTCACAAATACCAATACATCAGAATATATAATTAATCATAAATTATTAATTAATATTTATTATTTTGAATACAAAACAAAACCATCATTTCAAAATAATATGTTATATTGTATGTTTTTTGTGGTCAGTTATAAGCAATACAATATAATTATTCATATTAATTGGAGTTTTTGATAATGGTCATTCCAATTAACTACTGTATGCAGCAACTGTTTTTATCACAGCTAATGTTTTTTGATAAACAAATGACAATCTGTAAAAATAATGAGACTTAATAATTTTATTGTTTAAAAACAACATTTATTTGAATATGTTTTATGTCAACACAATGTATGGAAGTGTTTTATTGAGATACAAATAAAAATTTATATTTTAAAGACTGCCACYTACTATTGATTTCTGTTTTAAGCCATAGGCGCAATTAGGGGAAATTTGAYCCCCTAGTTTTTTAATCATATTTTAGTCTAAAATATAAATTAACAGAATCTGTACCGCTGATACAATTTTAACCTTTCAGAAAAATATTCCTAGTTGCGCCTACATTATAAGCAATTTATTGTTTAAACGACAATATGTAAAACTATTGAGTGTTGGGTTATACATGAATGACTTTTAACTAAGTAAAAATTAATAATTACAAACCATATCTTACACTTACTTTGAGTCAGCTTTGCAGATAGACATATGGTTTAATGGCAACTCATAAAGTTCACCCACTGATGGATCTAAATAAAAAATATTTTACTTTTTGTATAAAACAAGACTGAAATATGTTTAATTTAGATGTAAATATACRATTATTATATAATATGCTCCATTAAATAAAAAAGTTTAAGAATTGCATGAACAACACTTATTGTGAATGATATTATAAGATTATTTATATTTTATAGTTAACTATAGCTATACATAATTCATAATATTTATTGGTATCTCATAAAGTTTAAGATATTAATTTATTTTTTATTAAAGATCTTGTAGTAACCAGTATTTTACTATTTTACTCATTGAAAATTAGTCTGTAGTATATGAAAAGATAGCAGATTAGTTTTAAGTCAAGTTATAWAACTGTTATAAACTAAAAGTAATTCAATATCAAATTTTTGTATTTTTCATTTATATTTATAATTTTTAAGCTGTTTATTGCTAATTAATGTAGAAATAATAATCAGATGTGAAAAGAAAAATTTGATGGACAGATGATGGTTACTGGTTTATTCATAATTTACTTCTAGTTAGTTCATAAAATAATGATTAAAACATGCTCTGCAACATTCTCTATTTAAAAAAATTATTGGATAAGTTGTTCCAATCTGTAAAAAAAAAACACTTTTCACACTAATATATAGGTTTTTGAGGCATATTATAACCCATAATAAATTTAGAGAGCTTTGGACTAAAAAAATACATAATATAATAAACACATATAATTGCTTGTCATATAAATATTTAATTAAAAGATTTAGGTGCTTATGATTATTTAAACGATGYATTTGTTTAATAAATTTATGTTTTTAATTTTTAATTTTTACAAATAGGTAACAATCTTAATCATGTGATATTAAACTAAATTAAATTGATACTTCTAATCTAGTCCAAGTTGAAGAAGTACATTTTTTAATTTCTAAGCACTTGTCTAAGGTATTCAAAAAACTTATTGATAACAACAAAACAAAGTTWAAAAGATATATAAAATAAGTATATTATATAAATATAAAGATTTAAATACAACACAATAATATTAATAAATAGTAGAGTTAACACTAAATCACTAAYCCAGGGGACRATTGACATTTTTAATTYAGATATTTAAACTTTAAGTGAGAATGCATTAAATATTAAAATTCCAGATGTTGAAGGCACAGTAGAAATAAGTAGATAATAGAGACACGATTTCTAAGAAATGAGATGTAGTAATTGCACAACATGCAAGAAGAGTGACTAAATAAGAGATGGTTTTGTAGTTGTACTATAATACAGCAAATTATGACGTTGGATATGACACAAAGATAAAAAATTCAGGGGAATTTGCTAATATATAAAATACCTTATATTATTATAATATAGAATATTGTTATGATAAATCAGACTTATTAATAGAGACTACAGAGTAAATTATAAAAAAWTCAGACATACAGGACACATACYCATTAGGCTGTAAGCATTTCCAAGACRATTGCAAACAAACAATACATCCATGGAAACAACACTATTTTAGAGAGGGCTAGGAGATGTAGAGCAGGGGTTCTTAAGARGATGTGATAACCACATGTGTTGTCTCCGTCTTACAAGTATATAATACATACTATAATACAACAAATGGTAGGCTCAGTAGAACACATGTAGTTCTGTTTGTTTAAAATGTATAGTGAATTAACCTCTAATAAAATTTAAAGGTAAGATTTTATCAGGGGCTTCTCATAGGTTTTTTATCATACTTTAATTTTGAAGCGAGTTATGATTATTTTAAAAATTATAAATTTTTTGTAAATCTTAAAATATTTATAACTTGCTTCAAGATTAAAATATAGTAAAAAGCCTATGASATTGTCTAAATAACATTTTTACCTATAAATTTTATAAGAAGTCAATGCAYTCTAAATTTYAATTTAACAGAGCTGCACGTGTTCTGCTGAGYGTAAAATTTGCAATGTTGCACACTTGTAAGATGGAGACAACACGAGCAGCTATYATGTCCTCTTAATCTTTTGTAGAACACGGATTCCCGATGGAAGATTTTTGGGAATTGCGGGCCCCCTACCAATTTTTTGTTGAATACTTTTTTTTTTACAAAACATCTCATGTTATCATAAAATTATAATAATTATTTTATATAATAAATTATAGGAAGTAGAAATAGGTTTGTCTCTTACAATATAAGACAAATTTTATATGAAAAAAAAAAAACAATAATAATTAGCCGAAAATATTGTAATAATGCACTCTTGTTACGTATAGATTTATGTTAGGTGTTAAGGCTGCCGCAAATTCCCAAAATGAGTATCCTGGCCTTTGGGGGTCTGCAGACCATAGGTTTAGAACCGCTGAYGTAGAGRGTAGACCTTTATATAGGAGAACCTCAAACAACAGGTTTTTCAAATGCGATTTGACAGTGCACAGTAGATCACTTTCACGTCAGTATGTTTTTTGATTAATATTTTGGACTTAAAATAATTTGAGAAATAGTATTTTACTGGACTTAAYCTATAGGTGACGAGATCACTTTTCATCATTACATTTCTGTATTTTATAATATTATCATTTGTCAGTAACTTTAGGAAACCTTGACTTGCATTATTTTTAATTTAAATWATTTATTTATACAGATTTGATTGAAATTTAAAAAAATATATTTTATTTCATGAAGCATGCCACTGGTTGCAGAATATAAATAGTGTAGCAGTGAAAAGATTAAATTAAACTACACTTGTTTTAAAT